GGAAGAGACGCGCTGACCACAACGCCATCTGGCGTCAGTTCTTTAAAGTACAGTTGCTGTTTCGTCGCATGAAAGTCCAAAGTCACAACGGGCTTATAGGTGTGGAGGTTCGTTGTACTGTAGTAAACCTGATGGAGGACTTGTGCAGGCCCTGTTTCATTTGGTTTTACTTCGCAAAATTACAAACTGCAATCGGAAAATTACAATCAAATCTCACATTTCCGATAGAGTGATCACAATTTTACAATCGCGAATTGTAAAATTACAAATGTTACCTAATTTTCAGAAGACAGATTTGAATTTTCAGAAAACTGTTATGAATTTTAATAACTAATTGCAAAATTGACAATGTTATGAAATTTCCCAACCACGTTTGCAATTTTACAACTGATTTTGATGTGAAATTTCACAACTTTTTTAACAGTGTGTGCTTTGTTGGTACAAGGCGGGAATACGAAAATCTGATCCGAAATAGGTTCATCAGATGCGTGGTCCAATGCGAGGTCAGGGCACAAAATCGCATCGTAGTTTGTATTTTATTACATCCGACTGGTTAGGCTAGACAGCTAAAATGCCGATAATAGATGTCAGGGCGGGCAGTGAAATACTAAACCCAGCACGAAAACACCAAGTAGTGAATCCCTCAAAGCTGTGAATTACAACATATTTTGTCAATGTTATTTACAAAATATAATGTAAATTTACGACGGTATTTTTCTCAGCGTTATCACTGTTATTCAAACACTAAAACGTCACATTCCATACAATATGAATTCTGTCACATTATATAGAATACCATGTCACATTCGTTATAACGTGACCATGTTATACCATGCACTGAGCCCGTGGAGAGCAGAGCGATGCAGGTATATGTCACATTCTAAGCAACGTGACACAATTTACATTATATAGTATGGGACGTCACAGGATTTGAATAACAGTGATGATGTGGCATACCAACCTTCCCTCTAGCGTTGGACGTATAGTGCCCACGCAGATTTTCTCTTAGTGTGACCTTCGCCCGTCAGCTTCAAAGAAGCCTGTTAGTGTAAAAACGCTTAGTTTGGTATTGGTTCCCAACATTTTCTACAGTGTAAATATGAATTTGAGCCCCCCAAAAATGATGTGTCCTTCGATGACACATTTATACCAACAATTTCCCAAAGCAGAATGAAAAACGGAAATTGTTGGAAAATCGGAAGTTTACACTTGATCGCTTGATGGGGTTCCCTTGTTAGTGGACCGAAGGACCACATCAGAGGAAAAGCTGGATGGTACTTTGTCCGGTGGAGGACGGGCCCCCATGGTGCTTGTGTGGGACTGGATGGAGCCAGAGCGTGATTCTCATCTGTGTTTTCTGAGCAGCAAGGGCATTGCTCACGAATCACATATGCACTTCTGCAAGGCGTGCTGGACGTGCTGCTCCGCCTAGACGACACCTTCGCGGACGTTCTGCCCCACCTGCTTGTGGTCAGCGTCGTGCTTCCGCTGTTGAGCACCGTAGAGGTCAGTACTATTTCCAAGTCAGATGGCTGACACGCTATTCTCTTAGCCGTGCACTGAACAAGTTGAATATCCACCAGCTAGCTACCCGCGGAACAGAGGCCGACGCGTTTGCTCTTCTCAATGCGCCACTGATCTTTGCTGTCTTCGTCCCTATCTGCTTCGCCGGCGACAGACTGTCCGTGGCTCGGAGCGGCATGTCAAGGAGCGCATTTTACGGACCGTGGCTTGAGGTGCCTTGCCAGGGACCTGCGTAGGGTGGGCACTCTCTGGTCACCTCGCTCCGCGAAGGGGGGGGGGGGGGGCACAGAGCACTGCGCGGTGGAGGGGTGAGGTGCTGCAGGACGGGTTCGGAGACGGGAGTGCGCTCTGAGCGTCATGCATCGTGCTGGTTTAGGGTGGCGGAGGTGCCCGTTGTTTGGCGGGCTGTTGCGGTTGCAGCTTGTGGCAGCGCTTGGATCGTACGGGCGAAATCCGAGCGCTCGCTGAGAGGTTCCCAATGCCGCCCACCCTACGGAGGTATCTGTGCCTTACAGGATAAAGCACTCTGGTGAAGCTGAAAAGAACAAGAATGCGGACCATGACATCCATGCCCCACACGACGGCTTTCGTTTTCTTGTTCCTCGCATTTTTTGTGCATTTCAGCTTTACCGGAATGGTATATGTACGATTGCTGATGTCTGCGGGTGTAACAAGTACGCCCACTCTGGGAGCAGGACCCACTTCTTTTTTTCCAATGGAATAAGAGAATTTGAGATGTAAGAAAACGATAACTTTCACTAATGCAAGTAACTAAGTCCAAACTGTACTGTGATGTTTGCCGTTAAAATACATACAAAGTGGATTGAAAGTAGTATTAAAATGTACTGTGAAGTGCACAGTTCTGTCAACTTTTAAAAGAACTCATGGGTAACTTATTTTAAGCACTATTGTGTACAATATTTGCACTTAAAATATCAGCTCGTAGGTGAATATCAAAGTACACTAAAAGTCCACGGAAACTACTCTAAAAAGTTGTCCTTTCTGTGTACTTACGAGTTAAGTTGGTAAAAATATTTCATTTTGTAAGTAATCAGTGAAAGCCAAACGGACGACATTCTAGCCCAGAGGGCTCTTCTTTCACGATTTAAGGGAGAGCGGGGTACCATGATCACTTTTTTGTCTTAGGCCTTCCTTCCCCTATAGTGTTAGGTGGCAGCTGGACCATAGGCTCAGGCAGGAGCTGCGTCTCTTAGATACAACATGCTTAAGAAATTATTTATCTCAATCAAACCATTTGTGAGCTGGGGATAAAATATTGTGAACCTGCATTATATTCATTGAGCCCCACCAATGGGGTCCCATGATCAGTAGGTGGGTTACGATGATCATGTCAGCGAAAACACACCGGGCAGCGGCAGCGCGGTGCTCCGCTCGCAGCCTTTTCAGCGTCAACTGCAAGTAACGCCCGCGCCGGCGCTACCGAAAGCAGCAGGCTAGCGCCCGCGCCCAAGGTACTTAGTACAGTAGGTAGTGCCAGTAGACCCCTCGCGATCTGATTGGTCGCCGAATCGTGACGTCACCATTTGTCCTCCCGCCCGTAGTTCAAATTACGGCTCGTGTGCCCGTCTCAATATTATGTGTTGTGACAAACACAGAATAAAAATATCCTCGGTATTTTGTCTTAGCACCCCTCAGCATCGGTAAATGACGATACTTTTACTCAGATGCCGAGCTAGTCGAAAGATGCGGACGGATTACGGGCGCCCATAACGTCACATCCAAGATGGCCACTGCTCGGCCTCTCAGCTGATCGTACGGGAGTGAGGTGAGGGCTGTTTGTAATCCGTCCGCATCTTTCGATCTGCTCGGCATCTGAGTAAAAGTATCGTCATTTATAGATGCTGAGAGGGGCTAAGACAAAATACCGAGGATATTTTTATAGTGTGTGTGTGTGTTACAGCACATAATATTGAGACTGGCACACGAGCCATATATTGAACTACGGGCGGGAGGACAAATGGTGACGTCACGATTCGGCGACCAATCAGATC